GCTACCCTTAAACCAATCATGAAGATGGCGGATTAGACATGCACGTGAGGCCCCAAGAGTTATGGGTTGGGAGGTTATAAGGGGTACCAGGATGGACGTCAGTAATCTATAAGGAAGAATTACTAACAACTTTCTGCTTACCTTTGCTGCTGTCTCCAGTGACTAGCACACACTACTCTTTAAACTAAGAGTAGTTGAGGCAGAGACCTCTAAAAATGTAATATGTTCCCTTAAGAAGGTAGCAGGTTCCCTTTGCATCAGTGACATTCACAGAGATGAAAAGTGCTTTGGCATGCTTCAAGAGAGTAGGGCATACTAGGTAACTGAGATTCTGTGGAGTTTCATCATCAAAGTGAAATTTAGCCTGAATATTTTTTCCCAAAGTAATTTCTCTTTAATTTGCCTCATTTGAAATTTGAAGGAGAAATATTTCCCAGTTAGCGACCAAGGAGCCAATTTCATTTTCTGTGTATGTCTCTGCATTTAGGGGATTTACCCAAAGTCTGATCAGATGAGAGATCCATATAATAACAGAATCTTTCTTTCTAGTGAGACCATTGAGAAGTGCCAAATAACTGATTGTTTCATCAGGCCATTCTCTAAGAATCCAGCAAGAAGTTTCATTGCAAGAAAAAGTTTTCATCTCAAGGAAAAAAATAGCTGCCAATAATTCTTGTCAAAATAATTTTTTTTCGATTTTATTTAACAAGATGACTTCAAATGTACACATTTGGTTTTTGAACACAGTGTAAGATATTTCCATCATCATTTCAATCTAACAATCACTAAATAAGCCTGAAAATGAATAATAGACTAGTTTTACCCAAGAATGTGATGGTGCTTCGGCTGATCTGGTGCATCTGAGGTATTAACGGATTTCCCACATGCATGGAAGCCCATCAGGTGGGCACCAGAGAGTGGGTCTTCCCACCACAATCAGGCCAGTTGTTCACAAAAACAACAAAGTAAGTGCTTGTGTGTGTGAGAAACATGCTGATCACAACAGTCATTCCTTCATGGAGTTATTAACTTATGAGTACATTTCCACATGCAGAAACACCATTTTTACTGCTATAGTACAGTATAATCTACTTTCCTTCCATTTAATGGGTGAAGTCAAACGTCCTTTTTTAGGGGCAAGAAAATGCACAGAGACACAGTTCCTTCCTTTACCACATGAGCTTACAGAACCTCAAAGGGTTAAGTATCATCTACGGACTCTGACAAAGATCTACAATCTTTAAAAAGAGTGATGTCCTTCTGTGTCACAGATAAATGACAAATAGTTTTGCCAGAACATGCCTGGGCTTTTTATTCTGTTCATAAATTCAATAATAAATAATATATAAAAATTCTTTATATGAATATATCTTTTACTTGAAGACTATAAATTAGAAAGAATACGAAAACATTTAGTAACAGTTTCGAAAACAAGTTTGTGTCTTTAATTTTCCAGACCAACAATGATACACTGGAAAAGAATCTGGCCCTTTGAGGCCAACTCTTGAGGAATCACTGAATTAATATTTTTGACATTTAGAGAACAGTTGGTCCAATGACAAAGTTAGCCAATCAGGTCTCTGAATTGGTGGATCTGTGAAGGCAAAGGGTACATTTAGATGGAACACACCTGTTTAGGTGGAATCCAATTTAGTTCCACCTCCATTCACTGAGTAGCAATCACGTTCCCTCACAGCTGGACAGTATCTGCCTCTCATGATAAAAATGATAATGTTAGCTAATGAAATGGCATGGCAATTTATTGGTTAGTTATTTTCTGGAACATCGACACTTCGGTTAAAACTGTACTGTTTACAAATCAGTGAATACATAAAGAGGCTCACAGCATACCTACAAGACACAAATATACAAAGTTATGGCAAGCTTAGGTCAAGAAGCCTTAAAATAACAGGACATCTAGATAAAAAAAAAAAACAAACAAGAGATGGAATTACAGGCCATATATGCTAAGTGAGCCATATTCTGGGACAGGGTACTATTTGAAATGCACAGAAGAATATTCAAGAGGGAATCACAAACATAAAAATAAAATATTTGGTATTCTACACTATATTACAAAAATAAATATACCAGTCAATAAATAGTAGGAAGCCTAGAAACTTTTACATAACTATTTTGATTGTGGGCTGCCCAAGTGCCTCTGCTATGATTTTTCTCAGGAGTTTAGGCTTTTCAACTTCAGTGCTCATAATTCTGCCATAAATTTTGTTTTGTTTTGTTGTTCTAAGGAAGAGAAAGAAAAGACTGGTGTGGGCTGTAGCAAAAGCTCTATGAGCAAAGAAAACATTAGAAAGCTCTAAGGATCGGACAATTGTATGGCTGTGTAGTAATACAGCGGAGTTTCAGGTGTGCTGTTAGAGGCAGGGAGAATCCCCTTTTCATGTATTTTGACTTTTCACTTTTTTATAGAAGAAATCAAATAATAATAATCATACAACTAGCAACATTTGAATATCCAATATGTGACATTCTGTCTTCCTGTTTTACAAGTAAGAACATCATAGAAACACAGGTTTATATCTAGACTGCAGTAAGTGGAGAAACATTTGGGATATGCAGCCTGATTGCAGACAGCCTAGGTTTTCACCTCTCTTTTACAGCATAGTGATTACAAGTGCTCAAGACAAGGATTTTCTAGAAGCTTGGTAGAGCCAGCAGTGGGCACCGAGGATGAAGGGGTTGTTACCTGGTCAGCTTTCTAATATTGGCATGGATTGCTGGGGCTGCCACACACACAGCTCCCTAGAGCTGATTGTTATAGATTCAGGAAGTTTGCAAGCCAAATGGGATCACACTGGTAGCTTAAAGTAGGCCATGGTGAGAGTGTTCACACTATTGAGATTTGTGAATCAGGACTCTTTCCCACCCTCGCATGCTGGTTGTAAAGGATTTACCAGCACACCACTTTCTTATGTGTTTTAGACATAAAAATAAATAAAACTTACCAAGAAACTATCCTATGTAGTTTAAGAGGTTTTACTGTTTATCTCTTACAGTGTCCTTAGGAGAAGTACCGTGGAGTATTGAGACTACGTGGCGTACCATGGAGTATGAAAAATGCACCATCTTCCACCAAGGATGCTGAGCGAGGCTACCCAAAGCCACCTGCCCATACACAGCATACACACATGTGCCCACATATCTCATGGAAGTCAGCCCAGAAATGAGTGCTTCTGAGTACTATGGTTACCTCAAATTGTCAATTACCATTGATAGTCAAAATATCACTCTTCCAGGGGCAAAGAATTCCTGAGCATTTGCCCTCTGGGAACCAATGAACAATAAATGTACTCAGTTGGGCTGCAACTTGGGAAAAAGGATCTTCAAAACAACTTTCCTGACCTCTTTTTCTAGGGCAACATGAGTTTATGACCTCAAGAGGTTTGCAAAAGGAAGCTAATAGTTTTCCAGGGCTAAAAATAAAAAGCACAAGATTTCCTAATGAAGCGTTCTGCAGGGTGTGGCAACATCCTGAAAACCACACTCTCTAGTTCAGTGTAAATGGTCTGTGTCCTCTGCCTGGAGACATCAGGATGGCATGGGACCTGCTGGACTCTGGTTCCTCCTGCACAGAGCATGGTTCTGCTCAGGGGCGCTAAAACGGCAGCCAGAATCTCAATGTCCGTCCAACCTAGGCGAAATTCCATCTAGGCGGAATTAGCTGCCTGCCAGATCATTCCTGTTGGGAACACTTCCCAGCCCTTAAGTCCTGGCCAGTTCCAAAATGGGAAGAAGGCAAAACGGGAAAGCTGCAAGGTGTTTACCATGAGCAAATCTGATCTCAAAATTCAAGCTAAGTTTGTAAGTCATTTGCTCATGTGCCTACTCCCACATTTCAATGTATTCATCTGGATTCTGGTGTTCTTTTTCTTGTATTTGAGTATTCTTCATGCGTAAAACATGTAATAAAGGTTATTATTAAAATAAAATCGAATTAAATATCATGGGGGAAATCTAGACATTAGATCACTAACTCCTTTCTCCCTGAGAGCGAATCTATTGGAGATCTCCCTCTGGCTCACAGCAGGCCAATGGAGACAGAGGACACAGGATAATTGGGGAAAGAGAGAAAGATGGAAAAGAGAGAAAGCAGAGAAAGTTTATGAAGCACAGACAAGTATTTTAAGAAGTGAAGAATCTGACAAACAGTTCCCTTCTATTTCCCTCCTCTGGCTCTTTGATCATTTTTATTTCATCTAAAAGATTTGATTGTCCAATTAGAACTGCTTTGGATTTTACAAACTCATCTGAAGACACCATCTATATCCTTCCCACCTCTCCCTCTCCCAACTGCTCTATACCCTGCAGCCAGAAAGACCTATCATCTGAGTTCATCCCCAAGTCCCCTCTGTCTTCAATTCTTGACCAGGCGCTACCCTTTAGAGCACTTTAGTCCCTATGGGGCTCCTTCTTTGCTATTGTGCTGTTGTACCTCTGGGGCTACTGCCTCCCGGAGCTGTTTGGTTTCTGTTATCTTAAAAACCTTCCTCTCGAGCATGCAGCCTCCTTCACCAGGCCTGCTGCTCTGAGCCATGGCAGAACTCAACTGACAACAGCTACACTTTCCAGAGTATTTCAGACACTCTGAAGATAACAGGATATCTTCAGATATCTTCCTACAATGGTTAATACTTCCTACGACTATTAAATTCCTGATGTGAATTTAATAGTGACATAGACCCTATTCAGAGAAGAGGTGACCGAGAACATACATTGGCTTTTCATACATATATATTTCAGTGAGTCATACATGTATATGAGTATTATCTTCCTCTAGAGCCAAAAAGATTTTCCTAATTTCATGCATGTCCACATATCCTTATAGACATATTTTCTGATGCTGTATTTTGCTGGGGGTTGCTCTTTCCATATTGATTTGGAGAATAAGTAGTGTGACTTGCCATTCCTATTAAAGATGGGACTGCCTGGAAATGGCAAGTTCAGACAAAAACAGTTTGCAAGGGACTAGATTGTTTAGCAAACTATGCGTTTCCTACAATAAACCAATCTGTCCATTTCCCTAAGGCAGCAAGCCTCTGTTATCTGTACACCCTCATTAAATAGTCTCATTAAATAAAACACAAAATATACACATTTACAGTTATTAAATAAGCCACAGGACTCCTATCTACAGCCACATTCAGAGACCGCCATGCCTTCATATTTAAACTTGTAGGTGACGACACCTTTGTCTAAGTAGAGGATCGAGATGGGCTCGAGCTTGGTTGGCACACAGCAGGCTTTGGAAGCTTTCTGGGAATTCTTGAGGTGGACCAAGGCTTGGATAATGGCATGCTTTGTGGGCGTGAGATGCTCTGCCAGGGGGTAATTACAAACACCACGGCATTCATAGGCTTCGTATCCTGGGGGAGCGATGATCCAGGAGTCCCAGCCAATCTCCTTGAAGTCGATGTACAGCGGGGTCCTCTTGCAGTAGTTTCCTTTGGCGTTCCTTCTGATTCGGGCCGTGGAGTCATAGATGATGTTCGACCTCATCTGTAGCAAAGCCTCTTCCCCAGGTCCATTGGAAAAACCATCCAGGTCCAGGTTATCCAGCTCCGGGATTTGCTCATGGGCGATCATTTCATTCAATTCCTCCTTCTGCTCCTTGTCATTGCTTTGGTCATCAGAATACACAACAAGCAAAGGGTCATGCTTATTCTGGGCACTGGTGTCTATTTCCAGTTGTCCCCTTCCGGCATCTTCGATCTGGTCATGTCTGCTCTCAATGTGGACCTCCAGCTGGTGGGTGGACGAGCCTGACTTTTGCCAACGTCTGATGGCATCCGTGACGTCGAAAGTCTCCCACTCACTGTTGGTTCCATAGATCTCCCCTGACACTAGGACTAGCATGTTTCTTTCAGCCTCGTTGTCCCCTTCACTGTCTAGTACTTCAAAAATGGTAATTTTCCGGTCCACTCCATCATATATCATGCGATCTCTTTGCACCAGCGTGTACAGCCTGAGTTCAGCCATGATCACCTCTTCATGGTGAGGGATGGACACGTTGAAGAGGAGAGGGTATTTTCGGAGTCCATTAAAACTGGCTGGTTGAGAAAACAGATCTGGAAAGAAAAAAGGGGGGGAGATTTGCAAAAAATCAGACTTGCTGTATGTTTTATAGAAAAACAGATGTTTTTTTTTTTTTTTACGTCAGAAGAAGGCCTGCTCATGCAGGAAGTTTGATGTAGAGTAAATAAACGGAAAAGATCAATGAAAACAAAAACCATGTTAATATTCTGTGACACAGAAAATACCGAAAGGTCAATGACAGAATGCTAAGCTGAGTTGAGAATTCAGAACTAACACAGAAAATAACCGCCAAACGGATGGGAGAACTCTCAGCTTTCCTTTGAGTTACAGATCTGGAAGGGACCTTGGAGATGGCGTGGAAGAGCACTCTATTTTTCTAACCAGTAAAGAGTCATTAAACGGGGGTATGTGGTGATTGTTTTTTTCTTGCAGTTTCTCATGGATAATGACTTCATGGCTTTTCCTGTTTGTATTTATCATGGGTGGAGATCCCTACAGAGTTGGAGATCTGGCCTTCCAGTTGGGCACTGGTCTTCCTGAAAGATCTTCATGTAGACTTAGAGTTGGTAAATTATGGCTCATGGGCCAAATTGAGCCTGCTACCTGTTTTTGTTTTTTTTTAAATAAAGCTTTATTGGAGCACATTTATTTCACCCATTTATTTCTCCATTGTCTATGGTTGAGGGCAGTGTTAGGTAGTCTCAACAGAGAACATATGACCTGCAAAGTCTAAAATATTGACTATCTCTGGACCTTTGCAGAAAAAAGATTGTTGGCCTTGGCTCTAGTCAACAAAGCCTATCAGGGTCAATAACAACAGCCATTAATCAGGGACCACAGCAGTTGATTTTGTGATCCTTTATAGGGAGGAGTAGGAGAAAATGAATACTGAGGGCAGATGGATTGCCTTAGTCTTGTACCTCCACCACCTTGCAAGGAGTTCAGCATGCATACAAATCATTCAAGAACCTTTATGAAACACTTCTTAAAAGTTCCTTTAGTCATGGAAGCACACCTCCAAACTATCATGTTGACTTTCTATCTGAGATTTTTACAGTGAGCCAAAAGCTCCTGCATACTTGACTTAGGCAATATATATCTATAAAGAATCCCTGAGGACATCTGTCATCAGACTGTCCAAGGATTCCACAACACCAAGGACCACCAATTGAGGGGTTCTCTATCATCTTTAGCAACATTCCCCAATTGTATATCCAGCTAATGATTTCAGTGGGATCCCTACCAGATTATATTCTTTTCATACTTTTATTCAACTTTATATAATTAGTTTATACTTAATGTCTCTTAAAAGACCAGAAAGGCTTATGGTTGAGGTGATAATTATTTGGAGTTTTACAAAATCTACATTAATAAAGATATGTAATGATTTTTCATGTACTTCACAATTTGCTCTGGATACCACCCCAAATAACCTTCCACGCTGTTAGTGGGAAATACTGACCTATGCAATGAATTTCAACTCACTGGGATGACTGTCAAGACCCGCTTTAACTGGGTCTTGGTCTTTCGATCCAGCCACAGTTCCTATTCATCCTCTATAGTGCACAGAACATTGCAATTGCTCTATTAATATTTTTTTTGACAATTAGATAAGACATCTGAAGACTGATATCTTCATGTCCTAAAAAAACACCTCCCCTTTTTCCTGTATTTTGCACATTTAAATATACTCTTTTTATCTTCAGAAGGCCCTCTTGCCTCACCTTCCCCTATCCATCTCTGGCCTCTCCCCTATGAGACCTCCTTACAACAAATCCCTATCTGAAAGCTTCCTCCGTTATGAGTCACTTGAGCACTTGCTCTCTCTGACTTCCCTCTGACTTTTGTCATTTACTCTGTTTCTGTTGTAATTTTTATGAATGAATCTTCACAACTAGATTGCCAGCATCCTTGGGGCAGTTACTATGACTCAAACTCCCTATTACATCTGTATTTTACCATGATGCCTTAAACAGAGACAGAGTCTTAAGATGTTAATTATTTGTTGATTCTGGGCATCAAGCCAACTGAGTTAAGGGCATGACATATATCGATAACATATCAGGTTTGGGCGTAAGAAACAGAAGTAACTTGGGAGTTGTCTCTCTGGTATAAAAATTAGGGAGACTACTTCCTCTGGACAGGGAACACAAAAAGACCAAAAATGGGAGAGGAGACTGGTCTCTCCATGAGAAAAGTGCAAAGTAAAAGTTCACTGTAGTGGCAGAGAGAGTTTGCAAAGGCAAATAAGGAAAAATTTGCATAATGGATATTATTAAAAAATGGTGCTAATGGATAGACTAACTGTATTTGTCATGGTGGATGCTTACATATGTGCAAACCTATCTGATTATATACCTTAAATAAATGCAGATATCTGTATGTCTATTATAACCCAATAAAATTGTTTTTTTTTCTTAAATTAACTCACTGAAGTTCTTTTCATACGCAGATGCAGTGAGTGATAGATGGACGAGTTACATTTGAGAGTAAGAGAACTCATGTTCTTCACAAATTTCACATGCCAAGGGCTTTGCAAGTGTGACCTGAAGTAGTTCTTACAATGTCCCCATAATTCAAGTAGGATCCTCTGTCTATTTTGCACCCAAAGAGACTAGATCTCAATGCAGAGAACCGACTTCCCTAGACAATGCAGGGAGGGAGGAGTGGAGCTAGGGAACCAAAGGCATTGTTTTCCCATTTTGGATATGGCACTTGCTTTTTCCACGTGAGTTAAGTTTGGAGATTTTGGGTCTAAACTGAGCAGAACTGAAGGACCAGATGGGCGATCATAGCAGCCAACAGAGTGATACCGGTGAGGGGACATTTGTCTTCAGACTGCATTTCCTCCCACAGACTGGCAGAGGGAGGTGTAGGGGCTGAGTGCCCACAGAGACACGTGCTCCTGCCCACACTGATCTTCAGCAATAACAAACTGGGTAGACTTCACATTCTGACATGGCTTCCCCAAATCCTCCGCAGGAGAAGTGAGAACGGAAAGTGTTCTTGCTTTTCAGGGCTTGCAGACACTTCTCCACCCACACCCTGAGCCAGACACTTAGGGACAAGTGCTGAGAGGCATTAGGAAGCATACCCACAGTAGGAGGTTGCTCAGTTTCCAATTCAAACTCTCCTCCAAAAGGAATCTTTAAGCTTGGCTTTTCTACTGGGAATATGTTACTACATATACATTTTAGCAGTCAATTTTAAAGGCAAATAATATCTCAAGGCATAAGATATACCTGGTCAGCATTCATTCCAATGCCTACAATTTTAAGCAATGCATTCATAACAATAAAAGTTTTTCCAGCCCTTCATAGGAAACCAAAGTGCTTATCTGTAGCCTCACATGATTCCCTCAACTGTGTTATGTTGGTATTACAGCTCCCATTTTATGGATAAGGAAATTGAGGCTTGGATAGAGTAAATTAATTATCCATAAATACCCAAGTCAACCAACTCTAAAAATTTCACATCTTGAGTTCTTTCTTGCCACTGCTTTTTGGCTTTCAGAACATCTGGACAACATCAATCAAAACCTCTTTTATGACTGCTTAATGATTGTAAAAGCATGATTGGAAAATACTAAAGAATTCATCTCCTTCAATCCACAGCTTCTATCATAGATAATTTTCCTCTACTAGTACCGTACTAAATGAAGGACTAACTTGCTAGCTCTCTAGATCTGGTTACTGAATTTAAAGATGTGAGAGGAGAAAATACATTTCTTAGCAATAATTTAAAGCTTGTACATTCCTCTTCATAAAGATACAGAAATGACAAGCTGGATCATTAGTTGCATACTTCCTATAAACAGCGCTCCAAGGATGTACATAACATATCAAAACACAGTTCAACCTCAGGAAGCATCTGCACAATCCAAGTCTCCATCCTATTCTAAGATTTCTTAAATAACGTAACAAAATAGAAGCATCCAAAGTTTGAGCAAAACAACAACATAAAAAAAAAACATATAACTTTCCAGGCTTTTATGTTTTTTGTTTTTTTTTACTATTTCCATTCTAAGTAAAAACCAAAATGGAAATTGAGGCCCATCTGGAAAGTGACAAAAATATAAGCAGTCCACCAATAGTTTTGTGTTACTTGTTGCCTAAATTGAAACTTTTTAAAGATCTTAGGATATCGTAACTATAGACATTCTGCGGCTTTTTATTAAAAGGTGTTTTTCTGTGTCTTTTGGGGGGGTTCCAAAACAACCATATAAACGGTAGAGATCAAAATTGGCACTGTTTGGGGTTATCGGTATATATATACCCCCAAATGGATGTATTCATCCTTATCCATATTCCCATGCATTGAAAATTACCTTCTTGGAAAAAGCCCAAGCCAAAGTTCATCAGTGAAAATGCAGACTTACCTTCATTCTTGAAACTCCTGATGATGTTGGCAGAGGGCATGGAGGTCCGGTCTGTGGCGAACTTGTTGTAGAGTTCCAGCATGTACTCTGGTGGGTCCACCTTGGCTGAGTCCTGCATAGGGATGTCCGACAGGTTCAACGTCTTGAGGAACTCGTCCTTCATGCTCTGCAGCAGGGTGTTAAAGTCAACACCATCTTGCTCTGAGAAGACATCATCAAAGAAGGGCATATCTTCTTCCAGAGGCTCAAGGCCCATGATGGGACTGCCAGAAACGGAGTGAGCCACCAGGCAGAAGACAGCGCACAGCCGCAGGACCAGAGAATCCATGACTCCGCTCAAGCCCCCAGGCCAACCCAGGAAAGTCTAGCTCTCCTGAGCTCTAAGTGGCAGTTTTATCTAGCAGAGCGTAAATGTCTCATGTCACTGCCGACAAGTTTGGAAGCTCTTCCTCTCTCTCCCCCTCCCCCTTTCATTCTTCCTCTCCCCCCAAAAGTCAGGTTGCAGTAATTGGCTAACAAAATCCCCTAGAGGGGCCTAGCCTTTCTTATCTCCTTAGTATAAACTTGTGCACTAGATTTTGTTTCTATCTTGCAATCCCTTTTTTCTTTTAATGAGCATTTTGTAAACATTTCCACATTCTGACACTGGTTGAGAGATAGGACAATTTTCTCCTTGCAAAGGCTCTTGCTTCCTTTCAACAGAAATGCCTATATTCTGCTTTTATGGCATTCAGTGTCACACATACGTACAATAGATATTAAGAACCAACCTGATATACACCAACGGTGATACATCTTCGTGCAAGTGATTGGGCTTACAGTGTCAAATAGACATTTCTGAAGACGAACCCAATAGTTAACTTCAAGTTAGATAAATCAACATAAATGAATTTAAATAAACTTTGGAACCTACATTTTTAGAAATAGGAAAGTATGAACTTCATGGTCAATGGCCTTTTTTCCTACAGATTCCATCAGGCTAAAATGACTTTTGAAAAATAATTAATTAAGCAAGTGCTTAATTATAATGGCTACTAAAATTTATTAAGTGCTTCCCACAAATAGGCATTGTGCTGAGTGCCTCATATATACCATCTAGTGTACTTCCTGTAGTGATCCTATTATTATCCCCACTGTGTGTGGAGGTATAAACATGTATATTTACACACTGAGGTTCCATAGCTTGCCAGAAGTCACAAAGCTACAAAGTGAGAAAGCCACAGGTTAAACCCAGGAAGTCTGGTTCTTATGAAAGAAAACACAATCTTAATTTAACACCACTCTTCCATTAGACTAGGGCATAAGTCCCAGTGTTGAAAAGCCATCCAGTCCCCAGAACAGCCCTGCACTGGTCAGGTACAACCACCAGGTGACAAGTAGCAAATTACAGCTGGATGTGGACCTCGGTTCCTTTGCTTGTGCAAGTAACTATTGTATGACAAAAATCTCTGCCAAATTTGTCTCTAAGACTATATCAAATCAGTCATCAGAAAAAAAAAAGTGAAAGCTCCAGCAAAAGTTTGTCAAGCATTAATTACTAGGCAGATGAAATATGCCAAATGCCTTGATCTAAAGGGGGAAAAAAATGGCAGACACGATTGTGTCCAGTTTAGGAAACACAAATCAGGCTTATCACGCTTTCCACCCGAATGGCTGCAGTAGCAGCCATAGAGCAGTCAGGGTGACCCTGTGGACAACCGCAGGGAATGATTTTCCCGCTGGGGCAGAGGTATTGGTATCTCTCTGGTTTGTTTAGTGCACTCCCTGTGCAACTATTCAGGCAGCCCAAAGCTGCTACTTTCAGAGGACAGGATCTGATATTTGTTAAACTGGAATACATTCGTTTGCAAGCTATATTTTCCTGCATTTACCCTGAGCAGTTACCCAGAATATTTTGAATTTTCTCTTTTCACCAGACTTCCCAAGGTTTCTAGTCATCTTCCAAATATTTCTCCTCCTGTAAAATTTTACAATGATTTTTTTTAGTTACCATAGAAAGGATTACATTTTGTTTAGTAGCTATTAAATGCCCATTTGTCTAACAGTTGATGATTTTCATTAATGTTCTATTTTGATTAAAGTTCCTGCTCTTATAGAAAGAAAGAAAGAAAGAAAGAAAGAAGGAAGGAAGGAAGGAAGGAAAGAAAGAAAGAAAGAAATTGTAGACTGAATATATCCCAAACAGGTGCCCAAGTGAGTTGAGTCCTAAAGCCATAGCCTGTTCCGTGGGTGGGACATTTTATTTATTTACTTATTTTTCCAGGGGTGCTTAACCACTGAACTACTTCCATAGTCCTTTTTATTTTATTTTATTTTATTTATTTTTTAATTTTTATTGTTGGTTGTTCAAAACATTACATAGTTCTTGATATATCATATTTCACACTTTGATTCAAGTGGGTTATGAACTCCCGTTTTTACCCCGTATACAGATTGCAGAATCACATCGGTTACACATTAACTGATTTACATATTGCCATAATAGTGTCTGTTGTATTCTGCTGCCTTTCCTATCCTCTACTATCTCCCCTCCCCTCCCCTCCCCTCCCTCTTCTCTCTCTACCCCATCCATTATAATTCATTTCTCCCCCTTGTTTTTTTCCTTTTCCCCTCACTTCCTCTTGTATGTAATTTTGAGGGTCTCCTTCCATTGTATGTAATTTTTATGTAATTTTGAGGGTCTCCTTCCATGAGGGTCTCCTTCCATTTCCATGCAATTTCCCTTTTCTCTCCCTTTCCCTCCCACCTCTCGTCCCTGTTTAATGTTAATCTTTTTCTCATGCTCTTCCTCCCTACTCTGTTCTTAGTTATTCTCCTTATATCAAAGAAGACATTTGGCATTTGGTTTTTAGGGATTGGCTAGCTTCACTTAGCATAATCTGCTCATGCCATCCATTTCCCTGCAAATTCCATGATTTTGTCATTTTTTTAATACAGAGTAATACTCCATTGTGTATTAATGCCACATTTTTTTTTTATCCATGCGTCTATTGAAGGGCATCTAGGTTGATTCCACAGTCTTGCTATTGTGAATTGTGCTGCTATGAACATCGATGTAGCAGTGTCCCTGTAGTATGCTCTTTTTAGTTCTTTAGGGAATAGACCGAGAAGGGGAATAGCTGGGTCAAATGGCGGTTCCATTCCCAGCTTTCCAAGAAATCTCCATACTGCTTTCCAAATTGGCCGCACCAATTTGCAGTCGGGTGGGACATTTTAATGTGAGGTTTCTGATAGCATACCAGCAAGGCATGCTAATCATGTCCTGATCAAACCCAGCACCGGATTATCTCCACACACAGAGATGTCAACACACACTCCAAAACTCCGAATGGCAGGCATGTGCTGAAACTGCCACAGGACAACAGAGCAAGTGGTGGTACGTACAGCCCCCTGGCTGTGCTGGTTTCAAAGGTCAAGAGGAGAGTTATGTGTCCCACGTTGCAGAGTTCTGGTCCTTTGCATTCTCAGGCAGGAAAATAATGTAACAGATTTCACTGACATTTCTGTACTTGGTGTTAGGGAAATTATAGAGTTAAATAGGTGGACCATTTCTTCACCAAAATGTTTATATTTTTAGCTGATTAAAAGAGAAAATAGGAAAATGACCATAACCACATCTTACTACAACATTCTGAAATGCATGTTTAGTAAAAGTCCTTACACCACACACTTGTGCTGGACTTGGGGGTGGGGGGCTGGGCTTTGTTCAGGAAGGCACCAGATTCCTCCCTCATCTAGACCTGGGACACCTTATTTTTGGCTGCCGAGTTTCTTTATCCTATGATTTATTCTCCAAAATCTTTCCCTGATGACTCTTTTCTGATGTTAAAATATCCAACTATCTTTTCCCTGTCTTGATTTTTCTGGACACAGTGTATTCTATTATTTAGCAACAGGTCTTGTTATTTTTTTATGCTACTCATTGGAAATCTGTTACAATTCATTCAGAGTAGACTAAAGATCATTATACTGCTGATCCAAAGATGTAGAAGGTAGCTCTAGACATTTTAAGAGAACCCATACATGTGGAAAGTAAAATACTAATTATATATTGTGCTTTTCCATCTCACGGAAAAATACTTTACAAAGTCTGGGACCAGGTTTTAAGACTAGTTCCATAACTGTTCAAACTTGAAGGATCTAACATTGAACTTCTTTGGATCCATGGAGAGATGGATCAGTGATCAAATCCAGCCAAGGTTAGAACCACTGGGCTACCTCCTTATGAATTCTGATGTTCTCTCTGAAGAGTGGGCAGAACCTGACCAGATGCTATCAGAAGACTTCTCCTGGCTGACAAGAGGCCAGTGAACTTAGCAGATCTTTGGACATGACTCTAGGTTCTTGAAATGCTCTCCACCTTGGATCCCATGTCAGAAGCATTATACTATTATTGCTACCTACTCAGACATTTTCAAGACTTTGAGGTGCATCTCAAACCACATGTGAAAATAAAATATTGAATAAGTTATATGACAGGTTTTCCTATGTTAACATATACAAGTTGAGTCATTTTATGCTTTCTTGTATGACTTGCTTTATTTTTTCTGCACTCAACAGAATGTTTTTCAATCTACACATGCTGACATGTATAGCTATAGTTCATTGCTTTTTCACTACTGAATGGTTGTCAGTTTTATGAATATATAAAGTTCTATTTGTGCATTTATGAATAGACATTTGGATTATTTCTTTTCTTTTTTTCTAGTTATACATAGTACTGCTGTAAATAATCTTAGAACTATTTTTCTGTTCAGGAAACTATCTAGAAAGTGCTGGCCAGAAAAACTCCTCGTTATGATGGAAATGTCAGTCTGAGCTAATCAAAGCAGTAGCCACCACCAAAACTACTCATGGATACTGAGCATTTGGAAGGCAGATAGTACAACTGAAACACTGACTTTTTAAATTTTATTTTAATTAATCTTAATTTATA